AATTGTTTCTTGACCTAACATGACCTAACCAGATGCTATCAGATGCTGCAACCACTAAAAAATAGAGCCCTTGCGGATCCTGAAGCTTGTGACATCTTGTGACATTGTGATCCCACAATCCCCCTTGGGAATTGTCACAAATTGGCCAAGTTGAAAACCGTTTAGGCTCCTTCAGAAATAGTGAGTAGGCAAACACAGACAAACCACAGGTTTTGCTTAAGCCTTTAAGCCTTCAGGTTGGTCAGAAGCTTGGGTTGTGGTTGTGGTTGTGGTTGTCGTTGTGGTTGTGGTTGTGGTTGTGGTTGTGGTGGTTGTGGTGGTGGTTGTTGTTGTTGTTGTTGTTGTTGTTGTTGTTGTTGTTGTTGTTGTTGTTGTTGTTGTTGTTGTTGTTGTTGTTGTTGTTGTTGTTGTTGTTGTTGTTGTTGTTGTTGTTGTTTGTTGTTGTTGTTGTTGTTGTTGTTGTTGTTGTTGTTGTTGTTGTTGTTGTTGTTGTTGTTGTTGTTGTTGTTGTTGTTGTTGTTGTTGTTGTTGTTGTTGTTGTTGTTGTTGTTGTTGTTGTTGTTGTTGTTGTTGTTGTTGTTGTTGTTGTTGTTGTTGTTGTTGTTGTTGTTGTTGTTGTTGTTGTTGTTGTTGTTGTTGTTGTTGTTGTTGTTGTTGTTGTTGTTGTTGTTGTTGTTGTTGGTGTTGTTGGTGTTGTTTGTGTTGTTGGTGTTGTTGGTGTTGTTGGTGTTGTTGGTGTTGTTGGTGTTGTTGGTGTGTTGTTGTTGTGTTGTTGTCGTTGTTGTTGTTGTTGTTGCTGTTGTTGTTGTTGTTGGTGTTGTTGGTGTTGTTGGTGTTGTTGGTGTTGTTGGTGTTGTTGGTGTTGTTGGTGTTGTTGGTGTTGGTGTTGGTGTTGGTGTTGTTGTTGGTGTTGTTGTTGCCCAATGGGTTACCCATTCTGCAGGTAGTTATCCTGGCTTTGCATAACATCGCACAGCGCAATGCCTATGTGAGCCCTGGCCACACAAGCTGCTTTACATGTTTCCAGGCCCAGTTGATTAAAATGGTTGAAGAGTCTTGACTTGAAACTTCCTCGGGGATGTGTGTAAGAAAGATCTACAAGGCTTCGCAGGAAAAGCACAAGGTTCTGACTTAGGTTATTTTTAGCCTATGGAAGAGCAATGTCACCATTGTCACCCAATGTCACCCAGATCCTTTGGTAGCAGCGGCTCTGATTTGCTGAGGATTTGTTTGGTGGCCATTGTGTGGTATTGGACCAGTGCCGAATGGGCAGCGGTGACCAAGGACTGTCCCAACACCTGCCAAAGGGATCCAAAGCTAGTTGATTCCCACAGAATTCTTGGGAAGCTCTTGACCTTCCAGGATAAACTCTTGCTTGGTCCTGGCAGTTTAGTTATGTTTTTCAGTCTGGCAGCAGATGCCGCACAATATTCACACATTACTGCGATCATCTTCGATTGGTGTTTAGATAAGTATTTTCAAAGCCCCTTTAAGGCCAGCAATTGCTTGAATTCATAGACCTTTCAGGACATTCTTCATGAACTACAACACGTAGTGCTCTATCCATCTACATCAATTTGGCTGACGTTTCTTCCCCAGGCAAGGACCGGAAGGGAGGAAATTAAAAAAACCCCGTCAATTAGATTTAGTATTGCAGGTTGCCTTTTTGTACCGGGTATAGTCCATTCACCGTAAAACGATAAGGAAGGAAAAAAAACGATAACGCCAAGTATTATATATACATATATACATATATATACATGCATGTGTGTATACATATATATATATGTATACATATGTATGTATATGAATATATGTGTCAACATATGTTACCATCATGATTCTGGCACTATGTGCTTCCTCTGGTGGTATGGGATTCATCCATGTTAGTCACATGTTTTGCATTGCTTCGGTTGGGTGTGGCTGAGCTGTGGCCGGCACTAGCGCCACAGCAAGCAAAGCAAACCTTGCGCTGCTGTCATGCACTGCCGCTTGCGCGGGTTAAGTTGGCTAGCGGAGCGCGCCTCGTAGAGTAACTTCCGGAAGTTCGAATGCAGCTGCTGATGCTCCTCCATCCTTTTTGAGAAGACCAAGTGTAAGTGTGTCCCACAAATGGGGAGAATTTACGTGACACAAAACGATAACAAAACGATAACAAAAACGATAACAAAATTAACCCGAAAGCCAGCCTGTGCCAACCCCAGCGTTGGAGACAACCAGCCAACCTAAAGACATCAAAAAAAAGGTCCTCTTCTAAACACGTTGTGGCTACATGTGGCTACGGTGAGTTTGCTCCAAGAAGCGTTTTTGCAGCAAAGGTATGAATGCCCGAGGTCAATGGAAGCTGAACGAATGATTTTTTGGATGGCGGCCGCATGTGCATAAACCTCTTTGATTGTGATAAGTGCAGATAGCCTGCAAAACGATAAGGAAGAAAAAAAAGATAAGGTGAAAGCGGCATAAGCAAATTTATACGTTTTTTTTTTTTATCACCTCAAGTTGCATAACAGTTGGGCGGCCCGGCCCTGCGTTGCAGGTTTTTAGTTTCTTTTTGGTGCAGATCCTTGCCCTTATCGCTGGTGTGGACATTTGCAAAGGACAGCTGGTTCCTGGATAGAGCTGTGACCCTGAGATGTGGTATTTGGACAGCTACAGCATGCTACAGCAGTAGCATGCTATACAACTAGACTATACTTGTATATATAAGCTTGTACAGAATTGGGAAAAGTTGACAAATAGATCAGGCTCTTGCCAGCTTCCACTCGAGGTTCCACTGGATAGTGGTTCCCAGCTATAAACCTTGAAGTGCACATGGCTCAGCAGTCAGCTGCTATACGTTCGAATGAACTGTTGCTCAAACCGTGTGGATACCATGTGGATAAGTACTTCTACAGTAATAACTTGTAAGAACTAGTTTACAGATGACTTACATGTTGTTTGCTCTATTGTGGCATGACAGTTTGAACATGTTTGAACTCTAGAACTCCTTGTTGTGTCACAACCACAGGAATGTGTTTTATTCGGGCATCATGTAGCAGCCTGGCAGCAAGAAGGGCGAGGTGGAGAGGATCTACACATATTCTATCATATTCTATAAATATATGGCTAAGAATTCTGGCTGGACATCTTCAATTCTTTCATTTTGCTGGCCTAAGTAGAAAACTATGAGGGGGACCATATTGCCATGACCTCCACCTCTGTCCATCTGGAGTGATGCAAGCGTGCAGGTCCCACGGCTAGCTGCCTAAAATGCACAAAGATATTACTTCCCCATACTTCCCCTCGTTTATCTATTCAGATCCATTTAGAGCACCCAAACCCAAGGAATGCCTAGGGAACCATCAGAAATTCAGTGATATTCAGGGTCTTCTTGTTGATTTCGGGATCCATAATTTTTCTGGGTCCTCGATTTTGACCGAGACCAACTTGGTTTTGTACAGTGATCATAGTGATATCATAGTGATCTTTAGTCTTAAAGGAGCCTATCGTGTCATTCCCAAGTCATCTTCGAGGTGTTGGCTTTGGTACTTGGCATCTGGCGGGTTCTGCGCGACTTGGCTCAGCTGGGTTGATGATGTTAGATAAGAAACTACAGAGTCAAGGATGCTGAATAACATTGAATAACGGATTGAATATCGGATTAAATATCATTCAATATCAGTTGTGACTCATGTATCTCATGTAATGTCAGTAATATCCCTAGTAAAACGGAAGCTCAAGAGCCCGGACTTTCTCGTCAAACATGTTTTTGCCAAGTAAGATCCATTGTTTTTCTCGATCAGAAATGTATACTACGGTGCGGGCTCGGAGATGGGGTCAGGAGTGTTAAATGGAATCAGAGCTTTTGTTATACCAGGGATCTTGGAGATGGATTTTTCCTGGATATTTGATATTATTTGATGGAGATCCTAAAAGAGTATCTTAAACATCCACTTTTTGATGTCTTTTTGATGTTTGGTGAAAGATGATAAACATCTGATAAAACGAATGTTTGTTCAGCTCCACTTTGGCCGTGCCAGTGGTCCAGGTATTTCTTTGGCCAGCTCTTCACCGTGGCCGCATTGGCCTTGGATGCCCCAAGTGGCCTGGCGAAGTCATCAGCATCTGCCCGGCCATTGGCCCCGGATGTGTGAGAAATTCTGCGAAATGGTGACTCCGTGACTCCCAATCAACTTCAAGAAAGCAAAGTGAGAGGGTCTGATTTTCAAGGGATTTTCCATGATTTTCCTGTGGGCTTCGATTGCGACGTGATACATCATATATCACCCACATATATCACCCATATCCACACAACATCTCTTGAAGGGTTTTGTGTGCACCATCCGACAGGATCCAACATGACACCGGAGATTCCAAGGTGTTGTTTTCGTTGTGAAGGCTATAGAGCCTTTGACCACTGCATTGTTGGCTATCCCTTTGCTCAGTCAAACCTTCAATCTGCGGCTACTTGGCATAGCAGGTTGAGAAGTCCTGTCACAGGAGCCACACGAAGCTTGCCAGACCTGCTGGTGTTGCTCGTGAGAATTGAACCACCTCCAAACTTTTAGAGACGTCTACTAAGTTACTATGAGGCCCCTTATACATCCTTACACAATCTTGTGTATCTCCTGAATATTATGTAAAGTATCGTATAATGTTGTATATTACTTGGCTTTGTGTGTTTCGGGTGGGTTGATATATATGTTACCGCATGCATTGTACGACATTGCGCTGCTGGAAGACTCAGGCTATTTTTAGCCATCCTGGTGGACGCTTGGCAGGGACTACCTAACCATAAACAAGGTGAATGAGCAGAATCATTTAGGGTATATCGGTATATATATATATCTATATACACATGCATACATATGTTCAAGATACCAAATTATCTAGAAGCATAATGAATATAGATCATTATAGATCTATACTAAGTCTATGCTTCTTTGCAAAAGGATTGAACCAGTGGGTTTTCTCCGATTTCCGCGCATCTCGGCGCTCCGAATCAGGCATGCACTGGCATCATGATCACAGCAATGGCAGCACATGGTGGCTTCAATAAGCAGCTTGATAGCAGAAAAAAGGCATGAACTCAAGATGACTCAAGGATCCACAAGTAGATTCAAATTTATATAATTTATTATAATTTTATATATTCAATTCGATTTCCTCTGTGGGATCAGTCGCACGATGGGAAGCACCGAGAGCATGGCGACCTAATTTAACAAAGTCAATGTGCAGGGAACAAGTTGGAGGAAGGGCAGCCTGTACTTTCCAGGAATGCAAGCATCAACTGGAAGTAGAGCTAAGTCTTTTTTTCCGTCAGGATATCCTTCACTTTGGAGCTTGCAAAGCTCGTGATCACATTGTCATAGGGATGACGATTGACAGATTGTTGATCTCGCTGATCATGAATCAGTAACAACTATAGCTATAGTATGGGATCATCAGGGATCTATGTGTACTGATGAAACAAGGTATCCGGAGTTTGCACGAGTTTGCCAGCCGATTGATCCCGTGATTTCTAAGCACTGACTCCTTGATACTGGATGAACAGAAACCAAAACATTGACTACCAGAAGCCCCTAATTACAGTACTACATAATTACTACATAATCTACATAACCACTAGCATCACTAGCTTGATTGTCCTGTGCATTGTCCTGTGCATTGTCCTGTCCAATAAGATCCAATCAGGATTCACTATTCCCGTGCAGAGATGTCGATCGTGCTTAGCATGTTGGCCAACGTGGGATTCTCCTCTCGTGCTTGCGTGGCAAAGCGTGCCGCTTGACGGCACAGCTGGGGATGAGGTGGAGCATGGTGGAGCAATGGGATCAGTTTGTGCTGTAGAGATTCAGACACATTCAGTTGATCATCACTGGAATGATGTGTGAATCAACATGAATCAACATGAATCAACAATGAATCAACTATCAGAAAAATTCTCCATTAAGCTAAAGACGCTAAAGTGAAGTGCTCCTGCCATGTCCTGCCTTCCACCGGTGGACCATACCTCTCGAAACCAAGGCCCTGGCCTTTGAGAGCAAAGAGCCTTTGGAGGCACTGGGCACATGCCGTGTTTTGATCATGGGAGAACAATGGAGAACACCTCAGAGTGGTGGCCCTCTTGTTTTTTTCTTATATAGATATCTGATATAATTGATGACTATTGACTATTGACGTTGAGTTGAAACCATTTGAAATATACACAATGAAACTCTGATATCAGGAAGAATTTGATAGCAGTTGGGTGGGTCTGAACATAGGTACCCGGTACCCCTAAATCCGTTGATCATCATCTCTCTTTAAGATCCTTTGTATTATCATCATACATTATCCATCACCGGCTTGTCTCATACTTTAAGGATCTTTAAGGATTCTATCAACCTCGAAGAGAGCTCTTGGAACTTCCAGAGCAGCTGCCGAAGTTTGTTTCGCAGTTCCTGTGCTTTGAGCCAATCTGTGTGAAAATATGATAGGCTGATAGGCATGGTGTATCATCCACCTTGATGCACCGACTGTTCACGTTGCTCCAGCATTGATTTCGACTTGCATGACTACCCAAGTTTATGACATTTACTGTATCATTTATATGTAAAGTCTGCAAAAGTCACTATGCAATTGAGATTCAACTGATCAATTTCCTATGTAACTAGCAGTCACATTTGGCTTTTTGTCTCATGATGGGTAGGCCTATGGCAAGCTCACTGTGACAGCCACCCAGAGCGGATTAGTGACTTGGTGACATCGCAAAGACAGGAGCTGTTGGACGGTAGCTCGAACATACACCAATAAAGGCTTGAAAAATGAATTTCGATTCTTCATGATTCTTCTAGTTTTTGTGTTGTGTGAGCAAGTAGGTAAGACTTATGATATCTGATATCTTATTTTAAACTTCGATGAGATCCCAGTAGCAAGTGCGCAGAACTTCCCAGTCGTATCGCCTGGGGACTGCCACCATGTACACTATACAGCAGCTGGAGGTTGGTAGTCAGGCAAATGCAAGCTGGTGGAAAAAAACTGGATTCTCACCACCGCAAAATGTAAAATGGCCAGTACTTTTATAGGTGTCCTATGGTGTCCTAAAATGCTGTGAAAAGGGGTTCAAAAAGACCAATTTAGGACACCTCTTTTTTGAAGCAATTTTTCGTGGAAGGCTTTAGCATTACTACCTAAGCAATCCCTGACACGGTTAAAGAAATACCCCCTATAATTTCATATAATTTCTATTCTAGCACTGTGCCCTTTATGATGTTTATGGTGATTGATGGATGCAAAATAAATAGTTCGCAATCTATATCACAGGCAATCAGATAGACAGTTCGCTCGCTGGAAAAAACGGTGCGGATTCGACATTAGGATTGTTTGGAGAGGGGGCGGGGTGGTTTAAGGACAGGTTTTCTTTTGAAATGTTGGATACATATGACCGCAATTCAAAAGTTATATTTCCCCCCCGTGACTTAGGACTAGTAAAAGATACCCTGGGGTGGCCAAGTCCTATGTCATCATGCGTCGGACCCCCCCTGGACAAGTCCTAGGTCATCAGGTGTCCGTATGAGATTAGGAACTATGTTTGAGATTTTTAGTGCGGCATGGAACACTCGTAAAACCATGATGACATAGGACTTGACTAGCAGAAATATATTAAGATGATCCTAAGTCATCACGCTCTGTGATTTTCATTTTTCCTTTGATTTATATACAGACATTATTTTAAAACACTTACATAAATTAAAAATATAGATATTTTTTGTGTTTTTCATTTTTTCATTTTTGAAATATTTTTTGGAATATTTTTTATATTTATTCTTTCTGTTTATATATATTTGTTTAACGTATTATGTATTGTGATGTGATGTACTGTACTGTACTGTAATGTACTGTAAGTATGTGGGTTCTGATGACTTAGGACTTGTGCCCCTTTGGTGACATACGATTTTGTGCACTAAGTCCTAAACCCTATGCATGTATGTAATGTAATGCACTGTAATGTACTGTACTGTAATGTACTGTAGTGTAATGTAATGTACTGTTCTTTACTGTAATGTAATGTACTGTAGTGTAATCTACTGTACTGCACTGTAATGCAATGTAAGTATGTAGGTTCTGATGACTTAGGACTTGTGCCGAGAAGATTTTTTATTTTTTTTAAACCGAAAAAGTGCTTGAGTCCAATCACAACCCCAGTGACTTAGGACTTGGTGCACACAAATCACCTGGTACTGTAAGAACACCAGTGACTTAGGACTTGTTGCACTAACTCCTATGTCACCAGGATGGCCTAAGTCCTAAGTCACGGGCTGGTATTATAGGAGACACGGCTTTCATTTTTTTGCGAATTCTTGATGTAGTATGGATGTTATAGCGAACATTTCCAAGATTGAACATCATTGTTTCTTCTATGTTGATAGGCTGTAACCCTAATAAGAAATAATTTTGATTTCGCATTTTTTCCCTAGGAGTGAACCTCTCTGGCGGTCCAAAAGCGTATCACAGATGACAGCCAAGGTCCTGCTACTTGTGTGGCTCTTCTTGGCTCAGTCGGTCCTGGATGACCGTGACATGATGAGCCTCGTGCGACATTTGAGTTTCAATCCAAGCGCCTGGTTCACTGCAGCCAATCAGCATTGGAAGTGGCCGCTGGAGCAACCCCATGGACAAAACCGCAAATTTTGACAGATGGTTTCAGTTGGTTTTTCCATATGTTTCATGTTTTAAGTGATTTGATCTTACATTTTGAATCATTTTGACAGCTGATGTGAGATTCTTGGTTCAGTTAGACCTTGGAAGATTCAACATGATTCAACCTTCACATCCGAGGTATGCTTGACCTACTTCCTCTATCAAGCATGCTCCATTTATCTCCTGACACTTGGCCACACGGTGCTAAGCTGGTGTTGTGGAAATCGTGGAGCGCACCTTGTGTTCCCAGTAAATATGGTAATAGTAGAACAAGAATGAACAAGAATATGATTTGCCGTTTGCCACAAAGAAATATCACGATCCATGAACTATAAACAATTATATAAGTAGTTGGAGAAGTGCAAATAGAAATAGACCCAGCATGACCTCGTCACCCCGCTCCGGTGCTTGAGGAATTGCTTCTTAGTTGAGACCCATGCGCTGCTGGTTGCTCTGAAGTGTCTCAGCAAAAACTCCACAGTTCGTATACGTGCACCTATGTGTCCCTAAACTCGGGTGAAACACTGGTGATTCACTCATGCGATTCTGTGGTACCAGGGAGGATTTCATGTCATAGGTTTATTTCATGTCATTTCACTAAATGGCATTTCCATAGGATCCATGTTAGCAATTGTTAGCAGCTCATTCCAGCTCTCTAAAAAGCAGCTGATGCAACTGAACCCACACCGAGGCATATCTTCGTTGTGGTTCTTGCATCGCTCCTGACTGGAGCTGCTGGGAGCCTAGATGTGCCATCGCTGGTTGTTGCAACATTCTCCAGGGAAGTTCAATCGCATGAACCAGACACAGTTCAGAGTGCCACAAGATGCCAGAAGTTCCTATTCTGGCACATCTCCGAATCTAGTCTGTGAAGAGCTTGAGAGTCATGTTCGCTGCTAAGTAATGAGATGTTTGCATTCATGGTATTCTCATGGTATTCCAATGTATTCCTGTGAGTGTCTCCAGGTTAGAGCCTGGCACTCAATTCTCCGAGTTATTGAGGTCTTCAATGTACACATGACGATAGGCCTGAGCTTAGTGGTAGCGGGTGTTTCCTGGTACCTCTCCAGTCGGGTGCCCAGCGGGTTTTTCAAGAGAAGGAAGGGGGACAATCAATTGGGCCCACTTTGGCGATTTTTCAGCTTTGGCGATGTGGTGGAGCCAGGTCCAGCGTCCGAGGAGGATGCAGAGAAGGTGCCCCAGTTGTACAATCGTTGCAGATCGATGTCATAATATGTCATAATATATCAGAATCATAAGATATCATAAGTGACGTTCATGCCAGCTGACTGAACTGGCAGCCTAAGAGCCAATGAGCACATTGGAGGTATTTGGAGGTCTGATTCTTGCGCTTCAGGAGTCAATTTTGCCAACCAGAGATACCAAAGCAGAAGCATCCTACGAAAGTGTGCGGGAAGTCCAGCAGGCCTCTGCGGGGTGGGGTGGGATTTTTCAGAGATGGTGGATGTGGATTGCATTGCTGATGTGAGGTGATTCACGGTGATTCCTAGATATTCCAGTGGCTTCCAGTGGCTTCCAGTGGCTTCCAGTGGCTTCCAGTGGCTTCCAGGTGTCCTCTTGGCTGATCGCTGCGGTCGCATCTGTCACGCTCTCGGTGTTGAATATCACTGGGGTCACAGCCCTGAAACAGCTGTTGATTCCATTGAAGCGCGGATAGGTGGAAGTCATTGGAAGTCTCAAAGAATAGTATCCGAAGAGGATTCAATTTATATGGAATTCTATGGAATTCTAATATGCAACCATTTTTTGGAGTCTCCTAGGATCCCATCATAGTGAAACGTTTGGTGGAACGGTGCCAAACTGAGTGTCTTGTGAAGGTCATTGTTCTGGGCACAGTGTTGCCACTGTGGCGCCTCTGAGTGCTGATATTGATATTTGATGGATGGGTACCTGCAAATCACAAAAGCTAGTTGGAATATGTTGGAATCATGTGTCGTGTGAAACTTTCACGCAAATTTGGGGGTTCCCCCACCCACCCCCCCAACGGTCTTGTGGGCTCGATCCCCTTCAGGTCCCTGAACTTTAACCTCACATGATATTTATGCAAACACTATAGGTGCATTCTTTCTTCACCAAAACCCTCTTTCATATCCATACTTGGTGGTTCAGGTGCCTCCCTGCCCCCTCTCGACCCATAAACATTGGCCCTCGATTCAACCTCCCCTGCTAGCGAAATCGTCACCTGCCCCTGGCCTCAAGTCTTGGAAATGAATGGAAATGGTGTGGAAAGACCAATCACGGAGAATGGTATTCCAAACAATTCCAAACAAATCCAAAGTATATATATATAATAATATAATATATATATATATGAATACATACTCGTATGCATCGTGGATGTCTTTGCCCCGGAGGAATTCATCATATAGCTGACATTAGCTGACATCACAATCAGTTGTGGACTTTGGCCATTCCATTCGTAGGTTTGAACATTCGATCCAGACAAAGATTCTTCAGGCAGATACACTGCACTACACAGCAGGATTTAGTCCATCAAAGTGCTACGCGTTGAAAGCTTTGGCCAGATGTTGGTTCCTCCTGTTTCAATCTGTTTCATGAGATCCTGAAATCCACAAGTTCGATGTGGTGAATCTCGGAGGATCCTCAGCCTCTTTGTTTGCAGAGAATTGGCTATGACGCCCACTACTATAGTGGTGGTTGGACATGGCCGGGCCATCCGAGCAAGGATAGTCACAGCATTGTCACAGCCCGTGTGGCGATTGGGAGAGATATGCAGACATGCAACAGCCAGTGCGATGAACCTGCTCAGCGGAAAATGAGAGCTGGATGTGACCCAAAGGGTGACCACAAAGGGAGGCCACACCAACCCAGTGCAATATGATTGAAGTATTTGGAGAGGTTTGATTTTTAATTGAAATAATAATAGTTTCATTTTCCTGGCCACTTGATGGTCTGACGGTCGCCTGAGAAGAAGGATTCTGGCACTTCTACTATCTTAGGCACTTATCTAGCTTTCAAGTGGTGCCGATCACGATAGTGATATATTATGATATATTCTCCCAGGGGGTCCTCAATTCCATGCCCAAAGCCTGTACAGTAATGGTGGTATTGGACATGTGCGCAGTTTGTTTTGCCTAAAGCCAACGCAACTCCAAAATATGTATAGATAGTGGACGAAAATGGTTCGGCAATAATGAAAGTGAAGAAGAGCTTCTAAACTGATAACACAGTATCAAAAGATAGGAGAGTTATGGAGAGGTATGATTTATCATTGTTATCCGATGTTATCCGGTATCCGTTTATATATTCAAACATATTCAAACTACTCTTCCAGCCCATGCAAACACCCACTGGAGGTGCTTTATGATGAGCCCACCGGACGACTTGCCTTGGTCTTTGAGCTCATGGTGAGATTCTAAGGTGTCGATGCGAACTTACCAGTGCCGCAGCGCCGCAGCGCCGTTTTTGCGTTGGTCATTTTCTGTGCTTGTTATTGTGGATTCAGGAGTTCTAATTATCATTAATTATCTAATTATACCCAAGTGCGGCACAGCTTGCCACTCTTCTTGCGAAGATTCGAAAACAGTTGTGGCTCATTGTGGCTTGTGTTGCATATGCTGGCGCCAAGGACATGAACCTCTATGAGGCGATCAAAGGGCGTAGGCATTATCTACCTGAAGCAAAGGCTGGAGCCTCGGAAGTGCGTCAACAGCCTGCGAGTTTGGTGGCGACATTTGTACACCAAAAATAGTCAGTGCATGTCAGTGCAATCTCTGAAAAAAGCATGCAGACAAAGTATTGTCCCGAAAAAAGACTCTGCTCCCCACCAATATCCAAAGTGAGAAATTCAACTAAAAGGACTAAACGTATCAAAGAGAGGAGCCGGATTCAATTGGTGCGTCACCTGGCTTGTCTCTTCCCAACCCCCAACCCCTTCCAATCGCCCTACAAGACCAACACCAGAGAGCCATGGCACTGTGCCAAGGTTAAGCACTACACCTATGAGATGCTGAAGGCATGGATAAAATGGTTATTCCTCGTCGCAGTGAAAGCTCACTCCCTACCTCTGTAGACTCAGCATTGGTAGCAGAGTCGCACAGACAAAGCATTTATTGAGGCTTAAGGCCATGCGCGTGCTAAGTCACGAGAGTGCCGAATGGATTTTGAAGAAGTAATCCAAGCGTGCTAAGTCACAGACTTGAAAGGCAATCTTGATCCAACGAGCACCCTTTTCTCGGAATTCATGTTTTGGAATATCCTCCAAGTTGGGAGCTTCTTGAAAGAGATTCTGTGACACGAGCGCATCACTAATGTAGCTGGGATTGTAAACACAGGTGGTGCTCGTACTTGCTCACTTTGCTTGTTTCTCAGAAGGTTATGTGCCTGCAAACTTTGGCTCAATTCCCGTAGCCCACTTCGATTTTATTCCGTTTTCCTTTTGTTTTCCCAAGCAGCCCGACTTCCGTGACAATATGAGGCTGAGCTCCACATTGGCCGGGTGGGTGCTTCCCATAATCGTTACTTCTTTCTTCCGCTTCGTGCAGTGGTCCAGATTCTAGCTGCGCCGCACATGACATGGAGGCCAATATACTGCTTCAGATGAGTGAGATCAATGAGATGGGCACAGATAATGTCATCCCTCCGGGAGAGGAGATTAAGGAGGAGAAGAAGAAGGGCAAGAAGGGATTCTTTGGCGCTTGGTGGAAGCCTGAATATCTTAACTGGTTTCGACACAACCCAGCCTACCGCCGCAGGTCTCCCCATCCCGTTTCAACTACAAGTCACTTGAATCTACTCTTTTGATCTTCTGTGGTACTTTGGGAGATGTTGATTTTCCACAATAGCCTTCAGAAGCTAGACTCGGACCAGCCTCAGTGTGGGAATGATGTGCACATTTTTGACACATGGCCGACACCAGATCCCAGGTACCACTACGACGACGGATGCGCCACCGTGGCCCAGGTAGCCTTGTCTGTCTCCAGATCAATGTAGGGGAGTATGAGCTGTCCAGACAAGAATGGATGGCAGCACAAGACATGAGACTTCTATCTGGGCCGTGCAACAGCGTTATTTTTTTCCCCGAGAAGAAAGCTGTGCTCAGGGCCACGGCAATTGGGCCAGCTGACCCGGACGGCGCTTGATTCAGACTCATGTTGAATTACGAAGTTTAAGGACCTGTCACTATGGAAAAATGTGAAACATGTGATAAAATGGTTAATTAAGATAATTAAGATGGCTCCAGGACTACTGGTGAAAACAGATTATAGTAATTAATCTTAATTTAATATCAATATACGGCAACGACATTTAAATATGTGGAGGGCGGGCGAGACCACGACGCCCCGGAGGTAGTATGACATACCAGTTCGTTTATTTAAATGTAGTGACCGTGTGTTTAAATGAATTGGATTCCGTATGTTTAAATGGCCCGGCGGGCCAAGGAAAACCTTCCCGGAGATAGTCTAAAGTACCTGTTCGTATATTGAAAAGTTTGTATATTTAAATGTAGTTACTGTAAATTATATGTAGCAATTAGTAATAATAATTGTAATCCCCAAAAAATACATCAACGGAAACCTGCAATTCTCTTAGTAGGATGTCGTACTTCAATTTTTTCCCAAACAGTGTGGCCACACTGAGGGGTTCTTACGGTAGGTGTTAAGGCCCGGTGTTTAATCGAGGTGGTCTCCGGGGCGTTTGGCATTTTCCCTCTAAAATTCCACACAAAATGGCTCTTGTGAAATGTCGATGTCCATTTCGATTGCGCAGGTTCCCACAAACTGTTGGTCGCGGGCGGGGCGTATTTTTGCATTTTCTTTCTAAATTTCCATACAAAATGGCGGTTGTGAAGTGTCGATGTGCATTTCCACTGCGCAGGCTTGCACAAAACGATGTCCCCAGAGGTGTCCCCGGTCGTTTTTCCTGTAAATTTCCATATGGCTGTGAGTCAAAATATAAAGCCCCGATCCACACCCTGAACCCACAGGCCGATCCATACCCCCGATCCATACCAAAACGCAGGTGATCCAGACCGTTCCATACGTCTGGATCACCGCGGGCCGATCCATACCCGAATTTTGACGCAACCCCATATATAAAATGGCTCTTGTGCTCTGTCCATGTGCATTTCGACTGCGCAGGCTCGCACAAAACGATGTCCCCGGGTAAATTTCCCTACATAATGGCTCTTGTGAAATGTCCATGCGCATGTCGCATGCGCAGGCTCGCACAAAGTGTGCTTCCCGGTCTTGGGATCGGTCTTCCTCCTCAACATCATCCTCCTCAACCTCATCATCTTCCTCCTCCTCCGCATCAACCTCATCATCTTCTTGTCATCATCTTCCTCTCATCTTCCTCTCATCTTCCTCTCATCATCAGCATCATCATCATCACCATCATCATCATCACCATCACCATCACTATCATCATCATCATCATCAACAACATCATCATCAGCATCATCAACATCATCACCATCATCATCATCATCATCATCATCTTCGCCATCATCATCATCACCATCATCATCATCATCCTCATCATCATCACCACCATCATCATCATCAACATCACCATCATCATCAACATCCTCTTCAGCATTAGTTAAGTTAACATCATCATCAACATTCCAACCCATCGTCTTTTTACTCCCCCGCGCTGTTTGGAGTCTCTTGCCGGGACGATGTTTGAAGCCAAAAAAAATGATGTGGTGGTATATCCCCAGCCATTGGTGTACCCAAAAGCCGGTCAGCGCCTCGCTTAGGCCTACGTTTTGGCTCGCTTAGGGCTACGTTGGAGATACATGGCTACAGTATCAATAGAAAGATTTCAACAAGATAAACCCTAAAGGTGTGTAACCAAGGGAGTCGAATGTATTTCATGTCGTGGCTCTTGCCTC